ACTTAATTCCCCTTTCTTGGACTTGCATAGCAAGTACTTGTCTTATCTTAGGGTTATTAGTTTTACTTTCGTTTAGTTGATCCATACCATAGATGGGATGTCTGGCTTTCTTGGCTTCCTTTGAAAAGAACTCTGCCAAATCTGAAAATACTAGAGGCCTAGAGGCATCACCCCTCTCACATATAATTGTACGCCACTTTTCTTGCATGCTGTATGGCAATTTCATAACAAGTTTTCTCATGTTATCGTTTTTTTTTAAAGTTTTAACTGAATCCATACTTAATATATCAAACTTACAACTTGTGAGAAATATGGAGAATTTGTCAAGAGCTTTTACATCATTTCCATTTATTACTGGCCAATCTAGAGCCTTCTTGATAAAAGCCTGGGCTACAACGTCATTATTCCCATAACAATCCTCAAGTTCTTTCAAGGCTGCCTCATACCCCCTTTCTGGATTCATTCTTGTAAATTCCTCTATTCTTTCTTTTGCTTCCTCTGAGGTAAATTGTTCAAAGTAGTTTAAACGTTCATCATAGGAAGTGCAGTAGTTTAGTAGCTTTGTTCGAAATTGTCTCATAAATCTATTGAAGTCAAGGGAGTTACCATCAAATAGCCTAATCTCCATATTGGGTTTTCGTATTTCTTTGACGAATGAGTGTATTTTTGCTATGAAATTTGAATTGGGCTTATCTGGAAGGTCTCCATATTTACAGGCATTTACTCTCCGTTGTCACTTCTGTTGTCACGTAAGCCTGGAATCATAAGGATTACTAAACCCTTCAACCTTTGGAACTTTGGATTTCTCTTGATCTTAAGAACTCACACTGCTTTTGGAACCTAATCCCTTTTTAATTTTCCTTACCACCTTAAGCCTAGCGTGAGCTACATCCTTTTCATTTTTGATTAACTGTCTCTCTTTCTCATACTCTAATATCTCCGTTTCCTCTTTCCACATCATCTCAAATTCTTTCATTTTAATATCTTCAATTTTATGTTTTCATCGAAACATCTCTGTGAGAAGTATTACTGATTAACTCTTGAGGTTTGCCATGTCCTCCAGAGTTAGTTACCTCTTACATCACCTTTAAAATCCAAATAATAGCATGTAATGGGCGTGAAACCAGTGCTGTTTCTTCCCAACTACTCTGTTTCTTTGGTTCAGCTCCGACTTATTTTTCGTTTATTCATTTAGTTTACCTATTTTACTTTTCTCCTAAACACAAGCACTTGCGTACACGAGGGCTATGGTCGCTAATGTCATTAACATGAAATCTTCCTTCATGTTATATTGCATCAATTTCAAACATTTCACTCCCTTAGCGTGCAGACATAGTTTTCCGGATTCGCTAATCAGAAATAGCCATCCTCAAAACTTTGTTACTTTTCACCTAAAAGCTAATCACAAATAAGCTTGATCATATGATCGATCCGTACGCTCGTACACAGCTATAATGTTTCTGCCTCACAATAATCGCCCATCAAACACCGTGTCACTTCCGTAGACTTACCGCAGTTCGCTCCTTCCGTCCGTCTCTTTATCGTCGCAGCAACGTAACAGCAATGATCTCCCTTTGCGTTTGACTGTAAGCGCCATTTCACTCGCTTAGGTTATTTGTGTTAACTCAAGGTGACTGATACCACTGCGACGTACTCCCTTCTCAGTTTAATTGGAATGCGGTCAAATCTGTAATCAATACATAATCAATACAAAAATAATACAGTATTAATCATAGTTGTAACAGCATACACGGGCACTAATGCATACCTATACATAAATGTGTATGATACATACGCATAGCGGGAACAGTCAAGGCCTTTAACAGAAGTCCTCAGATCGGTCCTTATGTATGTGTTGTCGAGCCAGTATTCACTCTCAAACTGTTCTATAACCCAGTGATGGCCCCCCTTCGTGAGACGCCCTTCCTTCCATATATACGTCAACACTAGGGACAAGGCCTAATTCAGCACATATAAACAAACGGAGGAACACGGCCATGGCATTATTCTTATCGCAACCCACGAGGAAACTGCCAACAAAAGTCCTAGAGGGGATGATATATGCGTGATGCTGATGCCAGCAACTACGCCATGCCAATGTTGATAACAGTGGCTACAATACATGGTATGTATTTCAGGACGGGGTCAATAACTTTCCAGGGAACTGTGATGTCCTGGTTAGTTCGTTCTTAATGTACCAATATAAATTGATAATAGGTTTTGACAAATGGAGAATTTGCCAAGGATCTAAAGTCCTGCAGACAGGCATGGTAAACCATAAGGGACACAAACCGGTTCAATCACCTAAAGGCGGTAGGGAGCCACCGGGTGAATAAGGGCATTCCACCTCTTCTTCGGCCGGCTGTAGAGGAGAGAAGGTCCTTACCGAGAACACTCACTGGAGAGTTGTGCAATATCAGGATCTACAGCTTCATACCGAGGATCTGAAACACCTCACGACGTAGAGGGAGTGGAAAACGCTTTGACTGAAAGGGAGGCACGAGTGCGTCTAGCAGGACATGAAATATTGTTTTTGACCAGGGGTTCAGAGAGGACTAAAAGGGTGTCTTTCACTCGGGGAGGTTAAATAGGTAGTTCATTGGTATAAGGAAGTGGATAATGTGGAAGCCATACTCGAGTCATTAGATAGGGAAATTCAGCAGGCTTGTGAATTCATACTGATGGCATTAACATGTCCTCGGTTGTTGACTGGCGAAGTAGTGAACGAGGTTCTACATGCATTAGGTAATATGCTGGGAACATCTTTTGCAAGTGAATTTACCAATTCACATAGTTCAGACTAACTCTGTTATAGAGTTAAACAATGGAATGCTTGAAGGGTGCATGGAGTCAAGGGAATTTATGCTGTGCCCCAGAGTTTTAACATCACTGATCAGTGTGACTGAGTCGTGTGTATGTACGTCGGAGAGACTTCCTAGGGGAAGTAAGGTGCTGGGTGAAAGGGTTCACACCAATCTCTAAGGTCTATAATGATCTAGGTGATCTTTTATATTCAGATAACAGAATTACATCGGCATTATTAAAATGTTCAGGCGGTAGTAGGCGTACCGTAGAGCTCTAAGGGGCAGGGTGTTTACATCTTCCAGGAGACTGCAGTTGTTAATAAAGGAATAACATTTTACAGCCGACGGGAAAGCAAACCCATTGGTTACAACTTTACCTCAGTTCACGCAAATTTCTTGGTATATGGCAAGGTATTACAAGATGTAATACCTTACCATGTAACTCATCTTGTCCAGAGATCTAATGTTAGTTCATGATCAATTTAATCAGTCTAAAGCAAATTTGAATAAAGTAAACGCATCTATCAATGGACTTGTGAAGCAAATTGCTTAAATGGATCTGCTGTTTGGTCGGACAGACTAAGGTTATGTCACTCAGGTTAACTCATGGGTTTGGGTAATCTTGGGACCTGTTTTGATTTCTATTAGCCTTTGCTTTACCTTATATTTCTAAAGGCGGTTAAGGAAGGAGACAGAGAAGTGTTCATCATTGTCAAGGGAGATAGTCATTGGTTGGCCAGCTATGTAACCTCTCTCCCACTCACCGTATGCACGTAGACCTAGGGGGTCTATGTCAACAGATATTACCCTGTAAGTTCTGACATCTTAAGACCGACTGGTGGTTTTCTCTTGAGGTCATAGGTCACCCGAGAACCTGTGATTTCAGAGGGGAGCATGTCAACAGCCAGACTTATGGTAGTAGCCTCTGAACCACTATACACTATGGATTTGCGTTTTCTAATGGTTGTATGGTAGTAGGAATGGTAGTTCAAGGGAAACTCCACATTCCATTCAAGCTACAGAGTGTGGTGTTGATCCTGTGGAGGGGATAAGACTTTAGTGTTTTACAAGGCATTATAGATACCTTGTCTCGGGGATATAGGGGTGATCATTTACAGGCCTTGTAAACAAGGGCACCACTGCTCTATGCTGGGTCAGCAAGGTCAGGAGAGGCCAGGTGCGTGTGTCAACCGTGATCGTGCGTGGTTGCCGAAACGGAATAATCTTGAAGAATTTCTTAATTCTGATTAATATCGTACTGAATCCCGTGTGACCTTACAAAGTAGACGAGAAGAGGGTCTGCAACTATTCGTATTCTCCAAGGGGAGAAATTGGACTCATCAGTCGGTGGAATTTATTTGTATAAGTAAATATACAAATGTACATTGTTACTTCATATGTGTATAATAACCAATAGGTATAATATTGGAACAAAATGAAATTTACAAAAGGGAAGTCACACGTAAAACTGGGAGTGTTAGTCTTATGACGAATACTGAACCCGCTCCGGAGAGAGTGAACACAAATCTATTTCCAGTGGCCAAAATGGAAACACGTTTGGGGCGTATACGACTCACTGTCATCCTCATTTAAGGGAGTGCCAAAGGTGATGAGAAATGGCATGTCAACACCCCAAAAGGACTAGGTAAGAGAGGGAGAGAGAGAGAGACCCTTATATTGTAAGCAATTTATTTTTTTTTATCTGTGCAGCTGACAATATTGATTTTTTTCCATTTCAAATACAAACCTGATGCCATGTTTACACTTAAAGGATAAAGGTGTATTTGTGTGTATATGCATGTGTGTGCACATGCGCTTATGTGTGGTTGCTCTTATCGCTTATGTATTTTAGCTAAATGAGAAATAGCCATAACCATCGCTGGCGACCACAGATCAACTGTACTTTGGTTCTTCGTACCAAAAGTTCAATTACCGATAGTACCAGTCCTGTTGCGTTGGTGATAATCAGAGATAGCACCAGACACCTTGTGACCTTGAAGACCATCCGAAATAGTTCACAAAAACAAATCATTTTCTACTTCTCTGCTTTCCTTGTTGATCTCGAAACACCTCTTCCTGTATACATACTACTAAACCATTTTTTACAGCGAAAAAAAAAAACTATTAAGGAAATCGAAATTACAAACTCGTAATAATTACATGATACAGTTGCCAATTCGCCAGTTTAGCACTGACTGCACCGGTACCCATCAGTATAGGAAGGAGAGCTGTTGTAAGAGCTCCTTTCAATAAGTGAATATTTTACGCGTTCTTTAGATTCATAGAGGTTGTAAACGAATGAATGCAGAGTTTAAATAGCCGAAATATAGAAAGTTGAGTTAGTTGTAAAATGATCTTTGATGAGTATTTATGAATTAGACTAATGACTTGTTGCATTTTCAATTATAGTGATGAGTGTGCATTTTTTATCCATAAGTTTCTCTGTCTATGAATGAAGTTACCTATATTTTTGTCTATTTCTAATAATATTTCTAATAATCCGTGTGTTGTGTTCCGTGTGTGTATACGCCCCGTTGCGTGCACAGCATGTGCGTGCGTGTGTGTGCAAGCATTAGTATATGTATGAGTATATGTATATGTATGTGTATTAACGTGTGTGTGTGCGTGCGCATGTCACTGTCTTATTACTACTATATATGGATATATATGTGTGTGTGTGTGTGATTGTGTGTGTGTGCGCGTGTGTGTGCGTGCATGTGCGTGTGCGTGTGCGTGCGCGTGTGCGTGTGCGTGTGTATACATATATACTGTCATACTAATAACAAAAGTCATATAAACCTAACTCATTGAAAAATTATAATTGTCTTTTAATAATTACATAAAGTATTGTAATTAATACATGGAAAGTATGGGACCTATTTTTGCACACTTGGAAATTTTGTATAATAAATAACAATTGCATAAAAATTTTTGTTGCAGGAATTGTGAAGATGAACATTTCGATGAGTGATTCCCTGGAAACACTTTGGTCAAATGAATGGGCAAGAAGAAGCATTGTAATATGTATTGGATTCGGAGTCATTATTTATGTTAGAAAATTCTTTCAAAACAGAAAAAGGGCTAAGTTAAGGTAAGATAACTTAGGTATATCAATCAATCAGATTGTTTTATCCATTCTGACATTTAGAATCATTATATAAAAAAAAATGATGTCACTCATTATACCAGTATGGAGTAATAATACATAGTGTGAAATCTCTTAATGTAAGCAAATATTTCAGAGCTGACTGGAATTCTGTAGGCAAGGATGTTGTGGTTCTTCATCAATTTTGGCGTGGCAAATATTGCCCCAATATGAGTCCGTTTGTTATGAAAGTGGAATGTTTTCTGCGTTTGGCTGGAGTCAAGTATATTGTAAGTAAAATATATGTTGCAGATATGTATACTCTCTATTGCTTATTTAACAGTAAATAAAAAGAAAAACATAAATTGTGCCATACTGTATACTGTGTTATACCATTTCATCAGTATATTTTGGTAAAGGAGATTTTGTTTCACTCTACAGACTGACACTCAAGAGCCTTTTGGAGCAAGAGGTTTGTGCCCTTGGATCACTCTGAATGGAGAAGACATTGAGGACTCCCAGCATATAGTTGAACGTTTGACAGAGCAGTTTAATGTCAAACTTGACGACCACCTCACACCAGAGAGGAAGGCAACTCTTGAAGCTATAAGAATCATGTTGGAAGAACACATGTTCTGGTATGATGCTCTCTAATTCTACGTTCAAGAAAGTGACATGATCTTTCTGTTATTCTCTATTTCTTTACTAATGTCTAACAATTACCTGTTTTTTTCAGGATTTTGTTCATGTATAGGTATTACCATACAAACTGCAAGGTATTTAAGAAAACTCAAGTATTCCCATCCTGGTTTCTGCATTACTTTTATCCAATACTCATCTACTACCACTCTCAAAAGCGAGGAAGAGCACAAGGTATTGCCCGACATACATTCGCAGAACAGGTCAAGATGACTGAGAAAAATATGGAAATCCTTAATACACTTCTTGGTAAGTTTTATAGATATTCCAGGTTTTGTTACTTTAGCATTAAGAAAAAGAGCAAGTTTTCATATATCAACTGTACAACAGTGAAGTGGATGAAGTGTTAACAGACAGTTATAACAAGTAATATATTTTGTGATCATTCATGATAAGAAATAGAAATTTGACTACGTTATATTTTTATTGTTATTATAAAAAGCTAACCATGGGTTATATATATTACAGTTGCATACAGATATTGTTTGTAGTTAATGATATGTTATAAAAATATAGAGCTTATCTATGTTCGTGAAACTGTAGTCATGTATTACTACTGTAATACATAATTCATATTATGTATTTCTTAATTTTAGTACAATTATATTTTTACAGGTGAAGGCCAGTATTTTGGTGGTGACAAGCCCTGTTCAACTGACTGCATTGTTTTTGGATTTTTGGCTCAGGGCATGTGGAATGACACAGACTCTCCCTTTGAGACACTTATCAAAGGTTAGATGAAGAGAAAGGAGAAATGACATATGGATTGATATATATCTAGCATGTATTTTATATTATGTTTCCTCTAGACACAAAAACAAATATGTATGTAATTCCATTTTTCTTTTCCAGTTACATATCCAAAGCTAGCTGCTTACTGCATCAGGATGAAGGAGCATATATATCCTGACTGGAAGAAGCTGTTAAACCCACCTCAAGAATAAAGGTTTAGAAAGTGTTGAATTGATATGAAATTGTAGACTGTACAGGTTAAATGCATAATTTCTAAGATTGTTCATTGTCATTGTGATTTGGGAATTCAATAAACAATAGTATGTCTGTATGTCTGTCATTCTGTAGGCCACAATCTAGATGACTGAGAAAGATGATGGCTTGGGACTTTTCCTATGTAGTTAAGGATTTTCCTTTTTGAGTTTTTATCTATTTATTTATTATCATTTTATTTAGTTATTTAGTTATTTTATTTATTTATTTTTTTACCAATACAAAAAATAAGTGCACGCATATCCAGATTATAGAGTTCGTTGACGGAATGCTTGGTGAGCTGCATGAACAAACCCAAAATGAACTAGCCAATAAGTTCGTTGACAGAAAGTTTGGGTGTGTGGCTGTGTGCTTGGATTGGCCATCGCCTTTATATTTTTCATTTGCCTGATAAATAGTTGATAGTTAGAAAGAGCATTTATGGTTGTAGGATCATAAGGGTAGAGTCTGCCAGTAGGAAAAGAATGGCTTAATATATCAATATAAGAAGCATTAAACTTCAAGTAAATATTATGAAATGTGTTTTTTTTTTAAACATGGAGGACTGCAAACCCAATTTTAAGTTTGGGATAACAATGCTTGCATTATGAATTGTTCAGTTCTTCATGAACACTCATTCCGTCCTAAAATGTTGACAAAACCAAATCCTTGAAGAAATCAAATCAAAGGAAATGCATATGAGAGACAAGGTGATAATTGTAAAAGAATAACTGAAGTGCTCATATTAATGATGCTCAGATAAGCGGATGCTAGGGCTGGATTTACATAAGAGCTAAATAAGTCAAAGCTTAGGGTCCTCGTTTCCCAATGAAAGGGCCTCCAATTTTTTTAATGACTTTTTAGAATTGACTTAGTAGCGCATTCATTTGAGTTGTTTGTTTTTACTCTTATTTAAAGCATTGATTTTTCAAGCTTCATAATAGCTTTACTTTAACTTCACAAGGGGCCTCCAAGCTTCTCACAGCTTTGGGCCACATCAATCTTCATTCTTGGCCTGGATGATACTGAACTATATACCTAACAATTAATAAATGGTCTATAATCAGGTAATGGAGGTCAAGTAAATATAGAATAGTAATATAAATTTATTGTTCTTGGATTATTAATTAATACAAATTGAATGCTGTGTGTGGACAGTATGATAATGGCTATTTGATTTTTTTTTTTTTTTTTTTTTTACACATTCGCTTTGTGATGAAAGCTGTTATATATGATGCTTGAACCATTTATATTGAACACTATGACAAATATATATTGTAGTTCTAATTTTATCTGGTAATTCACATCTGTTTAGTATGCTGTTATCACATGCAACTGCCTTGAAATAGTACATGCACATACCTAAATCTATAATTCCTATTACATACTCATCATGAGAAATAAATAATGCATTTGAATTGATTAATATGGTATAAGGTTGAATTCACTGTATCCTACCTGATAATCTATATTCACAGCTATGAAAATTAACTACATTTACAAAATATATAAAAGAGATCTACCTCAGTCTCAGAGAATAAGATAACTCTGCCATAGACACTTGTAATATAACTGCCCGGTACACATAATTTTTGTTATCATATTTTCCAGTATCTTTGGTGATGCAGTGGAGAAGGTTTATAATAGATTTTACTAAACATGGTTAAATTACATATATTATCGTTAATTTGCATAATGGCATAAATCAAATCATTTGTCTTTTAATTTCTTGATAGACTGCTAGACAAAATCACTTAAATCCAACAAAAACTATATATATATAACCTTAGGAGACTTCTCTAATCAATATATACAGAAAGTAAACATTCTTTGGTGACCCTTGGAATAATAGTAATAATAATTAATAGTTAATAATAATAATAATAATAATAATAACATAATCATAATAATAATAAATGCAAAGGTACATTTTAACACGTGATAAAGGGTTATTTTCAATTAGACTCGGTCACGAACCCATCCCTAAACGCTTTATGGTATACAGAGTATATTTATTTCTTCTGTAATATAAAATAAGTGAAGAGTAATATAATTTTAACAAAACATATTAGTTTATTTAGTAGTTACCAATAGTATGGGAATTATTTCTTCTTTAATAATCACATCAAATACTAAACCAAATAAATTACAAGAGAACTTTCTGTCTCTATTTTATATGTTGCCTTGTTAAGGGGAATATATATTTTTTTTAGAAATTACATAAACAATTGTGAGTAGGAATGTTAGAATAAACCCCTAAGAATCTTCAATTAGTTAAACAAATATATTTCTTCTAAACTTTATATATGAAACTTGCATCAATATCAACAACATATAGATTATTACAATATTAGTAACATCAAGAACTACCCTTTCCATAGCATATCTAAAATCATGTAATAGTCAACACTGCCTTTGTGAAAACCTTTGTGAATTCCCTTACTTGCTTTAAAGATTAACAGATAACACCATCTGTTAATTGTAAAATGAACTCTTCATATTTTATAAGTAACAATCATTTAAGCACACTAATTGAAGAAAATACTACAACACTCCAACACCTATTTCACATAAAATTCTACTTCTCTACCTGACGCTTTGCCTTTCAAGGTATACTACCCATGGAATCGCTTGTTACATGATAATGGCAGGTCCACATCCACAGGAGTCAAGCTTTCCATAGAGAAAGTCAGAGAGCATTCATTATCACAGGGAAATGAATTAAACTTTGGGTAATAACAGACAAGTGGGAGATATAAAACTTTAAACACTGGAAGTTCTAAATTTTTGTGGTTAAAGTGTTTCTACTGATGAAATCTGTACCACAAAATTAAAAGAGAATCTACAGAATCTTAGGTGTAAATTTCATTTGTTATAATTTTTTTCTACTCTTAAAAAAAGAATCACTTCTGTAAATCATCTTCAAAGATAAAAGAAGGTCACCTGCTTGAGTGAATTCCTGCCTTTCAGAACGGTTATGATTGAGACTGTAGACTTGAGAATGGCTACAATTTAGCATTCAGTTTCTGGAAAAGCATTAAAACTTACAAGGGCATATAAAAAAGGGGGGAGAAGGAAGAAAAGAAAGATGAAGATGATGATGATGATTAGGAGACAAGAGAGGAAGAAGAGGAAGGGAGAAAAAACAAAGAAGGAGAGAAAGAAGAACCAAAGAAAAAGTTGAGAAAGTGGAGGCACTGACATATCAAAAGGAAGAAAACAAAACAAATGGAAGTTGCACAAGTTTATACATCTTCTGACAAGATCAATTCACTTTTATTCTAATATATGTCTCACTCTTATATCAGGAAATACCATACATAAGACTTTAATAGCTCCTAAATGAAGGAAAATAAAAAACAAAAATTTACAGTCTTGAATAACAAATTCCCTGACATTTATCTTCTGAGTATCAAGGCTTCAATGGTTGTAAAAACTATAATTCCAGTAATTAGTACCATAGTGATACTTCATTTTTAGCTTACCATTAAATTAATCACAATCACACTATTAACATTTTATAAGAAAATCATTGAATGTTACATTCTCTTTGAAAACTAATGATGAGTAAAATGTTTCCTCTACCTTTTTAGATCGGATAATCTGGAAAACTACAGAGGAATGCTATGAATTTTGTTGCAATAATAATAAACTACAAAATTAAATAATAAGATCATGTTATAAACAGAAAAAAAACAGACATTATGAGTACGTACAAAACCCAATCATACAAAGTAAACAACACATTTTAACATGTTCATAACATCAAGCACTGGAAAAATAAAGGAATGCCCTCAAATTTCTTAATTTTAGACAACACATCACCACCATTCCTGTGATTGTAACATATATCAAGAACATGAACCCTGTCATTACTTTAAATTATTTATTTTAATTCACAAAATCAACCAATTTGGAAGAGGAAGCCGAAATAAATACAGATGTTTTCACGGACAAACAGTCGCACAAAGATTAATCAAACAGCCACAAAATAATCCTTAATATACCGGTTATATAAAAATACTTTGATAGAACAGATCATAATGGACACTAACCCTGAATGAATCTAAGAATTAACATTGCAGTCACAACAAAAAAAACACCCTAATATTCTTTAAACCAATCACAGACAGTCACATGAAACCGTTCCAATAGACTAGCTTCTTGCATCTCAAAATTAACACTGAAAAGTATGGTGAAATGAATTGTTAAGAGATTAACATCCTTTTTATTTTTTTTGTTAAATAACAGATTTATGGTGTACAAAGAGTTGCATGTATGTAAGGTGTCAGTGGGGATTTGTAAAAAGCATTTCTGGGTGTAGAGTGGGAAGCGCATTTGATATCCATAGTCACTTTAAAGCTGTGCACTTATCTGTCTGCCTGTTTCTATTTTGGATACTGATTTCATTAAGCAAAAGTAAGGCATCCATTGACAATGTACTTGTAAATCAGGTGAGCTTGTGAAGAGGCTACCAAAAAATCAGATCTCAGAGATGGAGAAAAAATAAAAACAAAAAACAAAAAAACACGCACAAAACATAAAAAAAATAAATTATGAGATAATTATTCCTGCTTAGAAATGACAGCACATAACAATAACAATAGAATGTTCAACAAAGAATCAAAGACATACAGAGAAAAAAGTAAAGAGAATAACACAATAACAACCAATCAATAGTTGTATCTAACCACATCAATCACCAGATATGAAAGAGAAGAAGAAACAGAAGAATAAATAAACACAGAAGACAATTATTCTACATTAAATCTTCTCAAAAAGCATGGGTAGTTATAACAAAGAATCACTGGATAGAACATACGTATCCAAAAAACAGATGGACAGCAGCACATTGAAAATAAATCTAGCATAACGTTCTAAAGAGACGGGTGCACTAATCATTCTCCAATAGAGATTTCTCAACCATTATGGAATCGTATCCTGGTGGAGGTCCGTGGCTAAAGTTTTCGAATATTACATCCATAATAGCACCATCGTCAACTGCAAAATAAAACGTAAAATACAAATTAGTTACACAAGGATCAGTAAAAATATCAAAGAGTTCCAATAAGAATGATGTCAAGATTACAGAATCTGATTGACATTTACTGATACTAAATGAGACTCCCCCCCCCCCCCAAAAAAAAAGAAGTTGCTGTTCTTCTATTCCTTGAAATATAACTGGTTTCTAATGGCATGTATGCAAGTTTCTAAACAAATCTTAAAAAGCACTGGGACCAATGAGCCACAAAGACTGCAATGGTGCATTAGAAAGCATCTATAACCTCAGTTCCTCTGTAGTTAAGCAGTGAAAATGTAACACTTGACTTACCATATAGGACTGGATACACAGTACCCTTAAAACTTGTGACTGGTGTGTTGGTTGGTTTCCCATTGATATAGAAGTTAAGTTCAACATGGTCATAACTGACACCCTGAGGAAGTAAAAAAAATATTAGAGAGAGAGAGAGAGAGAGAGAGAGAGAGAGAGAGAGAGAGAGAGAGAGAGAGAGAGAGAGAGAGAGAGAGAGAGAGAGAATATGAATCATATATTTCATTACTTTACGTATTTCTGTGTTAGTTTATGGGAACATCAATAAACAATTAATGACTATAATAACTTAGGTGAGGTCATGTATAAGACAAAAAAATAAATAAATAAGTAAGTAAGTAAATAAATAAATAAATAAATAAATAATAAAAAAATAAAATCACAGTGGAGATACATACTCATGGCAACAACTAGACCAGTCAAACCATTGACAGTCCTTTACTGAAACGATAAATCAAACTTACCAGAATATCTCCTTCCTGGGGATTATCAGCAATTTTGTACTTCTCCTCGCCATTGTGTCGCACGCAGCCATCGGAACAGAGAACCCATGATTGAGAGTCCTCTCCGAGGGGAACCTTATTGAGATTGGCATTCCTTGTTGCGATTCCTATACCCCACACCCCTGAAGGACAAAAACAATTGAACTTGGCTTCTAGCATGTTATGGACAGGTACTTTCCTATCAGTTTCATATCAGTTAGGATTTTCAAATGCTAAAAAGTTGCAAGGTATTCTACATTTTGTTACTTACAAAAAGTTTGTATGTAAGTGTGTACTCAGGAGTACCTGTTTCTCTTGAATTTTCATAGCTTTTATCTTTTTGATATTGCAAATCAAATACTACATAACCATAAGTAGCAACATGCATACAGATTTTCATTCATAAATCATTCAAGATCTTTACCATACACAAAAACCTTCTAAGGTATCTTCAGAAAGTAATGTCCACCAACAAATAATATTCACATACCTGACTGCTGGAGCTTCACTTCGAAATATGCTTTGTTCTGTAGGATTGGTATGTTACCAAGTGCCCCACCTGTGCCACAGATCCTGATGCCATTTTTTACAATCACAACTTCATGGCCTGAAGTATAAATAAAAATGGTCATAAAAAGAAGTAACTATGAAATACAATCAAAATAACAATTATAAATAACTACATTTTAAGGTTATCTCTTCTTCTGATATTCAATAGCAGCAAGCACCAGCAACTATATACATCTACAAAGTTACTAAATGATTGTTCTTGTTCTCATAGGTCTAGTTAGCTCCCACAAACCTTGGGACTGTGTATTGCATAGACTCCAAACATCCTCAATGCCTCTACTTTCAAAAGATACTGAATATAACTGAGCTTGCAACAAATATGCAAATCCTGAAGTTTTTTTCAGATACATATTCTTTCATATTTCTTGAATTCAGATACTCTGGCAACCAGACAAAAGATGTGCATTATTCCCAGAGAATATGATCCTCCCTTCCCCTTTGTTTGCTCTTATACAGCTGTTTGATAAAACCATGGTCAGCTCAAAATGAAAAATAACTATTACTATTCCTGTAAATGAGAATTACCCAAATATAATATGTTTATCAATACTTTCAATGCTCTCAATGCACTTTAAACTAATATTGTCCATTATGTACTCATAAATCTGCCTTTACTATAATATGTTATGTTGTACTTCCACTCTCAATTACCATTTTTTCTAATTTAACATTTAAGCAAACCCAGTCGATGCAAAACAGTGATTATAAACTGAAGCTGCAGTTCACTTTAATAAGTATGTGATGCTAAAGTTAAAAAAATCCTGATAATCCTGGACGCTGATGCTGGGAGGATATGTTTGTCCACTGTGATTATATTTGTTTCTTTTGTTCAAAGGTGGCTCCAGGCATCAAAGATTTAATTATCATGCCTACCTAATTTAATCCTGTTTACCCTTTCATTGATAATAACTATTTTATTTACCCCCCACCCCAATATTCAAGGAATGGGGCAATCAATGGGTTAATACATATAATATATTCCAGTAAGAAAGCACATCATATTTTTTTTATCTGTGACATACCAGTTGCAACCAAAAATTCTGA